TTTTTTATTCATTTTTTTTTTCTATATGCAATTATACATATAGAAGTCATTCACACAATGAATATGTTACACTTGCATTCATTGAGCTTCTTGGCCGTGCTAAAATAGCGCAAATAACGCTAAAAATAATTCAGTCTAAAATTTTTTGAATTCCAACCATTTGACAATATAAGCAAAAAGAAAGGTGTTTTGTGCAACGATTTCATTCAACTTCATTAATATTGCTTTAATATGCAAAATATACAAAAATCAGCTATGGGCCAATGATAGCGAGTGATGAAATCTATTCGAAATATACCCTAACTTCGCGTATGGCATGTGAACTGAATGAAGTGTTTCATGCAGGGCATACAAAATTCGTAGAGTTACATATTTTGAAATGTTTATCACCTGTGTGTAAACACGTATAAATAGGTGTTATATTTGCATTGTGGGGCAATTGGATGCACAGCAAGCGAATGAAACGAACATGATATATGCAGGTGCAGGTGTGTATATATTAAATACACATATAAATATATATACGTGTATGCATATATGCATATACCGTTGGGTCAACAAACCGAGTAACAAGGCGCAATACGAGAACTGTTTATTTTGATTGCAAAATGGAAATGAATAAATGCTGACAAGTAGATCGACAGAAACTAAAGAATTGGCAAAACAACTTAAATAGATGGCGCCAGCAACAACATATGATCGTAGGGCGTTCGTCTCGTAAGGGTTAAATGAGTTGATTGAAAGGGGAACAGTTGTTAAATAATATCAACCGATGTCAGCCACAATAAATTGTTATCAGAAGTCTATAAATCTCTTATAATCAAATAGGCCGAAAATAGATAAGGAAAGTTGTCGAAGAATAGTAATAGATGGCGCTAGCAATAAACTATAATCATATACCTGCCAGCGTCTAAAGGTCAAAGCTTTTTAATTAGTCGCTTTTATAAACACTTGGCCAACTGTTGGCTGTTAATCACACAAGCAGATCGCACACACATGCAAACACAACGATAATTATATTTAAAATATATGCACTTTTCGACATACACCTTGAAACGAATGCAAATGCGCAACAGCAAATGCAAAGCTAGTAAGACAACAATTACGTAAATTTGATTTACAAAAACAAATAATAGCCGGCAGTCAACGTATGCAAATTAAATATTTATTTCCGCGTTTGGTTGTCAACGCTCGCGCAGTTGGCGACAAACTGAACCAAAATCTATTGATGACTGTGCAAGATTGACCAACGCGATCAATATAAACAAGAGAATAACAAGAGAAAGAGAGATCGAGAGAGAAAGCGAGCAGCGGTAGCTGTCAATGAGGCGTGTGTGGGTGGGCGAGCAGCAGCACGTGATGCTCAGCCGCTCAGAAGCTCAACAAAATAAATCAATAGGAGACACACTCACACAGAGAAACATTATCACATGTACATACATATATACATACCAGTGCAGAGAATACACAACTGCGAGTAGACAAGCCCCTCAAAGCTGCTTGGCGATTGGTCGGTTTGTATTTGCACTGATGACGTCACTGTTGCGAACAGCAGCCACACGTCAAATGTTTACCTTAGTTTCATGTTTGTTTATGTTTATGGCGTATGGTGTTAACCGCGATTTACCTAATATCCAAACGTTTAGACATTTCTGTGAGCAATGCGCTATCTTATAGACCTCAGAGTAATATTTCTTGATAAAATAGACGGTATTTACAACAAGATGAGCACGTGCACCGGTTTACTCACCCTAAAAATATTTCAGGCTAGCTATAGCACTATTTGTTATCATTTAAGCCACGACAATGCTTTGATAAGCACCTGCATCCATTATGGATCACGGGAGCCATGAGTAAAACAACCTGCCATTAATTATATTGCTCTCTTAATAAAATCAACTTTATTGACGAGCCCTTTTTTTTTTTTTGTTTATTGCCAATGTACCAGGGTTGCATAAATACTACACATCCATCACCGTTCCGTTTCCTCAACAGTTTTGTCGTCGACGCAATGAAGATTTTTATCCACACAAACATTGTGTATTATAAGCATAGATAATTGATAGAATTGTATGGGACTATGATACCCACTCATTGTCATTGTTTTTATTATTGTATTTTCCCCTTAATTAGTCTATATATACATCGAGAAGATTTTCATAAGTTTTGAGCGTTGTCGTTCAGTTTTCACAACTGTTCCGTCGCATGTACAATTTGCGCGCCAAAAGCTAAAAATTCAAATTCAAAGTAGGAATGGCAATGTGTAAATACAGGTGCCTATCTATCTGTGTTAGAGCTTTTTAGTTAATATAACAGTATTATTGCTACAATCGTTTTCAATATTTCGTGTAAGCTTATCACCGAACGTATGTGTGCGTAAATTGAGTAGGCTATTATCAAAATATAATTTTAGTTAACACTTGCAGCTATGGCACGCCAGTATTTGGTCAAACACCATGGACAGCGGACGAATTGGGTTGGGAGAAGTGTACGATATACCTGAGCAACATACTGATAAGCGTTCGTTCAAGTCGATAGAGCAGAGCTTATTGTCACAGTTTGCTATTTTGGCTAGCTTTTCGGGCGTTGTATTGGCACGTGCGATATTGACCCCAAAGCGGACAAGTCGACTGAGTCCTACAATATGCTACCTAGTGGAGTTTCCCTTGGTTGTGGTGCCGGGCGTTCTTTTCGTGACAGTGGCTAGTGATTACAGTGCGCATTTCGTGGCAGTTATGATTGCTCTGCTATTCTTTTACATTATGCGGACCCGTGCGATATCGCGAATCAAAAAGCAATCTCAATTTAATGTAGGTAGTCGGCCTATTGCCCTTACAGTGGGCCGTGCCCTGACTCATTTGATCACATCTATTTGTATACTCGCGATTGACTTTGGCAGCTTTGATCGCCGATATAGAAAGAGTCGGCTCTTTGGCGCTCGGCTAATGGACACGGGCATTGGACTCTTTGTGGTGGTGATGGGTTGGGTGTCTCGGCGTCCGCGCAATTGCATTGAATTGCGGCGTCATGTTCTACTATCTGCAATGCCGCTGATACTTCTGGGCATTGCTCGAGTCGTAGCTCTACTTGCGGTTGACTATGGACAGGATGAACATGAGTATGGCGTCCATTTGAATGCATTCTTCACTCTGGGTCTGACCAAGCTTTTTGGTAGTATCTTTGGCTATTTCGCGGATACAGACTGGCAGCTATTGCCTATGGCGTTTTGTAAGTTCATAAACAAACAAATTCTACGCGTAAACTAACGTAATTCTCCATGCTTACAGGCGTTCTGGTATGCCATCAAGTGGCCCTCACCTTCGGCGGTATCTCGGAATATGTGATGGATGATGATGTACTTCGTACCACATTCTTGAGCGCTAATCGCGAGGGTATTTTTTCGATACCCGGTTTCGTGGCGCTTTATTTGTTATCTATTTACTTCGGCCGTTGGTTGTTTGCCAAAACGGTATATAGCTTTAAAGAAATGATTGGAAAACTTCGTAGTCTGCTTATCATAGTGATTGCCTGCTGGCTACTGATGGCAGTCAGCGCCTATGCAGTTGGTATCTCTCGAGTCACCTGCAATTTGGGCTACGTCATATGGATGTTTGCTATAATGAGCACCATGTTATGGCTGACCATGGTAATTTTTAACCTGATATTCGAGGAAGCGAACGAACGGAGACTTGACGAGGCGCAGAGCCTAATGGACGAAACCCAGTTTAACGAAAGTGAGAATCTAGAGAAGGGTTTATTAATTCCATCGAAAACAGTTGCTATTAAGAGCAGGGGAACACAATGTATTATCATCGAGTCATTGAACATGAATGGTCTAGTCTACTTCCTTTTGGCCAATATATCAACAGGTTGTGTCAATATCTTTTTGAAGCCCAAGGATCGTTCGGATGCTGCCTCGGTGCTCATTTTACACATTTATATGTTTGTGGTAACGTTCGCCGTCTTTCAACTGTATAAAAGGCGTATTCGCATTGCCTAATTAAATTTATAATCAATTAAGAAATCCTCTCGCTGTGATAAATAAAATAACATCTTTTTATATACAAAATGTGTTTTCAATTTGTTTGCTTATGTTTTGCAATGTGCTGATGAATAACAATATCGGTCAATTACCTTTTCAAAACTATATACCAATAGCATTTTTTATGATTTACAACCTTTTGATATATTTTTGGCATAACCGAACGTTAAAGGAACGTTACAGATAAGAACAACCTCGCTTCCGTTCAGCTCCTCTTCAGTTCAATTAATAGTTCATTGGTAACTGGTTCACAGTGAGCACAGTTTGTGGTGCTCTCTTTCACACTCTCTTCGTTGAGTAGAATTGGTTGAAAAGAATCGTAACGAAAGTTAATAAATTTCTGTGTATTAACGCTTGTATTATAAACAGTTTGTAATATGCGTAATCTAAAAACCAAATCCGTGGCGCATGCGCAGCTGCAAGATGTGATTTCTTAAATTTCAAATATGTTCAACCAATGCGACGTCATGGCAATGTAACTGTAAACAAGTGCATGCGTACTCAAAGTATTGCTATGGCAATAATTTACGAACGAAAACAGGTGTAAACAAACTGCAGAGCGAAAAACAGCGTGAATTAAAAAATGTTTGTTTATCTAAGCAAAAAGGTAAAATAAAATATATTATATATTCATTCATGAATTTATTTAAATTTATCAATATCCACAGATCGCAATTCCCAACAATGTGAAGCTAAATTGCATTGCATGGAACAAGGAGGAAGGCTACATTGCGGTTGCCGGCACAGAGGGATTGCTGAAGGTGCTCAAATTGGATCAAGGTTAGCCGAATGAAATATAATAATTAAAGAAATAAATAATAAAAAATTTCATTGCAGCTGCCAATAATGGGCCGAGCAAAGGCGGCCTTGCCGCCGTTTCCAATCTCTCGATGAATCAGACATTGGATGGGCACAAGGAATCGGTTAAGGTGGTGACTTGGAATGATGCACAGCATAAGCTAACCTCGTCGGATGTAGACGGCGTTATAATGGTGTGGATGCTGTACAAGGGCGCCTGGTATGAGGAGATGACCAACGATCGTAAGAAATCAACGGTGGCTGGCATGAGCTGGACCTCGGATGGCACCAAAATCTGCATTGTGTATGAGGATGGCGCCATCATTGTGGGCTCCGTCGATGGCAATCGTATCTTTGGCAAGGAGCTTAAAAATACCCATCTAACTGGCGTGCAATGGAGTCCAGATAATCGACTCATACTGTTTGCCCTGGCCAACGGCGAATGCCATCTGTACGATAATCAAGGAAACTTTGCGGTGTGTATTAAGATGACCATAGATAAGACGTTAAAGCTAATATACCTGTTTCACAGATGAAACTCAACATTAAGTGCATTACGCTCAGCAGCTCAGCGGGTCGTATTCAGCGCATTGCGAGCATCAGCTGGTTTAGCGGAACCTTGAACAATCGCAGCCGACCTGTTTTAGCGATTTGCTATGAGAACGGAAAGGTGCAAATTATGCGCAATGAAAACGATGATAGTAGGTGTACTGATTAATAGATATGAACTATTTATATTTATATTATTTACGTTTTTTCCCGCAGATCCGGCAATTTTTGACACAGGCATGCGTAACGTGGACGCCAAGTGGAATCACGATGGCAGCGTGCTGGCCATTTGTGGCACATCTCTGGAGGCAGCCAGCCCAATGCGGGATACCAATCAGGTCTGCTTCTACTCACCGCTGGGACGGCTACATCGCACCCTAAAAGTGCCTGGCAGTGACATTACGTCCGTTAGCTGGGAGGGCAAATCGTTGCGCATTGCAATGGCTGTCGACTCGTTTATATATTTTGCCAATATACGGCCCGAGTACATTTGGTGTTACTTCGAAAAGACGGTTGTGTTTCTCAACAGCAGCAACGGCAATGGCGGCAGTGGCAGTGGCGGCAGCAGCAGCTCGACTAACGTCATTACCTTCTGGAACACGGTGTCCAATCAGAGTTTCCTCAAGGAGGTGGAGCCTACACTCTGCTTGGCTGCCAGCAACGAGCACTGTGTGATCGGCGTAGAATGTGTTAGCAGCAATATTAAAGAGATTGCGCTCAGCACGCTGGAAACACACAACAATAGCAACAATTCTGATGGCCGGGTATATCAGCTTTTGCTGTGCAACTCCATTGGGACGACAGTGGACTGTGAGTTAGTGGCATTGCTTGAAATAATGTAGTTTTTATTGGATTTTTCTCCTATTCATATTACAGCCAAGTATACGGATATCAAGCCTCGATTTGTGGGCATTAATGCTGCTTATGTGGTGATTGCTTCGTACGAGGAAATACTCATTTGGCATTATTATACGCCAAAGGTAAGTGCATATGTCGGTTTACAGCCATGTACCTACCTACATATTTACTATCTATATATATTTTGTTGTATGTTAAATCATAAGTCAATCTAATTAACTATCTATCTACATACATTCACATATCCAAATACCTCGCTATCTACCCTTTATTTATACATGTGTTCGAATATCTATCGATCTTTCGTTAACCCTTAGTCTTTAGCGCCCGATATGTCACATTCACATTTTGTATACTGAATTCGAAATCAAGTCAGTCATTTGTGTCTTAAATTCTGAGCGTGTCGCATAAATTTTGTATTAGAAACAAATAGAACAAATATCTCGATCGCAATTTGATACATTGAACTAGCCATGACATTCGGGAAGGCCGTCTGGACGGTGCTGTCCTGCGACACAATGGTCGCAATTTTGGCCACATTTATGAGCATTGTAATCGCTCGCATTATAACGGGGAAATATTCGCATCGGCTTGGTCGAAACAAAGGCTTTTTGGTTGAGTTCTCATTGATCGTTCCGCAGGGCATCCTCTTCACAACGGTGGCGAGCGCGTATATTCACTACTTTGTCGGACTTCTGATCATATTTTTGTTGATATATATTTTGTGGACGCGCGCCTTATCGCGCGCCAAGACTCGCAGGGAATTTGACTTGGGCAGCCGGCCATTATGCTTAACCGTGGTGCGGGCGCTGACTCACCTAATCACAGCCGTTTGTATATTGGCCATCGACTTTAAAAGCTTTCACCGGCCATATCGAAAGAGCCGTAAATTTGGGGCCACTTTAATGGACACCGGAATTGGACTTTTTGTGCTCACCATGGGCCTGGTGTCGCGTCGATCTCGAAACTGGGTAGATATACGTCGCTGTGCTCTGCGCTCCACATTGCCGCTGATCGTGCTGGGCTTCGTTCGGATTTATTACAATCGTCTGCTTAAGTTCGAGCAGGACGAGCACGAGTATGGAAGACATATGAATGCGTTCTTTACGCTGGGCATCACCAAGCTCATAGGCAGCGTGCTCAGCCTGGTGGCTCGCACGGATGCACAGCTCTTTCCGATGGCCTGTGGCAAGTGCTATGACGAAACTGAAAACAGTTGAAGCACATGTCTAATGTATATATCTATTCCATATCTGCAGGACTTTTGTTAACCCATCAATTATGTCTATCCTTTGGCTATCTATCGCCAATCGTTATGGAGCATTATTTTCCACGCACTACCCTGCTGTTTGCCAATCGTGAGGGTATCTTTTCACTGCCCGGCTTTTTCGCCATTTACTTGCTGTCCATATGCTTTAGCAGGTGGTTGGTGCGCAACACATTGCTCAGCTATCAGGAAATGTTACGCAAGTTACGTGATCTGCTTCTCATATCGTTAAGTTGTTGGCTACTGATGGCAGCGGCCCATTACATTGTGGGCGTCGCTCGGGTCACCTGCAATTTGGGCTATGTTATTTGGATGTGTGCCATATCCATCACCATGATCACCCTGACCGTATTCATATGTGACTTTTGCATCGACAGCGTTATATCCGATACGCTAATCAGCACAGTTAAAGATTTAGATAAGTTGGAGGGCAGAGAAACGGTTCCAACATATATTATCTGCGAAGCCTTGAATATGAACGGTTTGACTTTCTTTCTCCTGGCCAATTTGCTGTTGAGTGGAATTAAATATTTCTTAAGCCCTGAATCACGATCTAGTATTACGTCGTTGCTAATTCTATTTATATACATGCTGATCACTACTCATCTAATATGTCAATTGAACAGGAGGGGCATTCGAATCGCCTAATGCAGTATTCCAGAATCCTGTATAATAACTTTGTAATGTAATAAGATGATCAAGCCTTCAATTAAAATAAAGATTTGTTTCCATTTTAGAGCACATCCAATTTACATGGTGTTAAAGCGCGTAAGGAAAAGAGATTTCACATCCACGATACGCCAACTGGCGTGGATTTGTCTAAGGATCTGCTAGTGCAGGGCGAGCAACGTCGTGTAATCGATCCGATCTGTGCGATTGCTTTATCCGAAAAACTCTTGCTTGTCGCCTGTGAGTCGGGCGTGATAAATGAGTACAGCGTGGCGAATGTTTCCCTAAGGAATCGCCACACTACCCACTCCAAGATCCACAAAATTGCCATCAATTGCAATTCCACGTAAGCAGCGCCTACTTCTAATTGCCTCATCCCAATTTTCAGTACTTAGTTTATTCACAGTCGTGCGGCAATTATAGATAATTTGGGCGTGATGACGCTCTTGGATCTGGATGACAATCGAGAGACGCAGCTGAACTTTAGTCGCGTGGAACGCAAGGATGTTTGGGCTGTTAGCTGGGCTAAGGATAATCCCTTGCTGCTGGCCCTCATGGAGAAGACGCGCATGTACATCTTTCGTGGTAACGATCCCGAAGAGCCCATCTCTTGCTCTGGCTACATATGCACTTTTGAGGACTTGGAGATTACTAGCGTGCTGCTGGACGACATCATCAGCTGCGGTGAGCTGCAGAACTCCTCTCATCTCATACAGTTGAGGGTGAAGTCGTTGCGCGACACAGACGATCTGTTGGAGCATGTTGGACTTGAGGATGCCAAGCAGTTCATTGAGGATAATCCACATCCACGTCTGTGGCGTCTGTTGGCAGAATCGGCCTTAAAGCAACTGGAACTGGAGACAGCTGAGAATGCATTTGTACGCTGTGCCAACTATCCGGGTATTAAGCTGATCAAGCGGCTGCGCAATATCACCTCGCAAATACTACAAAAGGCTGAGATCGCTGCCTTCTATGGAGAGTTTGATGAGGCCGAGAAGCTGTACATGGATGCGGATCGAAGGTATGATTAGATGAGCTATAATTAGTTTAGCTATTAATTATGTACCTTCTCAGGGATCTGGCTATTGACTTGCGCATGACTCTTTGTGACTGGTTTAAAGTGGTGCACCTCTATCGCATGGGCGGCGCCGGTGTTTCGGATCAGCAAATGGAAACGGCCTGGCGTGAGATTGGACATCACTTTGCCAATCTGAAGTCCTGGGAGAGTGCCAAGGAGTACTATGAAAAGTCCCATTACCTAGAGGGCTCCATTGAGTCTCTTTACCACTTGGAACAGTTTGATGAGCTGGTAACGTTCGTCGACAAACTCTCAGAGAAGAGTCCGCTGCTTACGAAGTTAGCTGAGATGCTAGTCTCTGTTGGTAAGAGCTGCGACGCCACCCAATTTATTTGTAATTAATATTGATTTGTCCTCAATGCAGGAATGTGCTCGGAGGCTGTGCAGGCATATTTGAAATTCGGCGATCCTAAGGCCGCTGTCAATGCGTGCGTGAATCTGCGTCAATGGGGCCAAGCTGTGGAGCTGGCTCAAAGGTATCAAATGCCGGAGGTGAATGTGCTGCTCAGCAAACATGCAGCACAGCTCTTGAACGAAGGACGGCTGCCGGAGGCCATTGAGCTACAGCGCAAGGCTGGGAAGCATTTGGATGCAGCGCGTCTGCTCTGTAAGCTGGCCGAGCAGGAAGTGGAGAAGCGTGCCCCGTTGTTGCGCATCAAAAAGATTTACATACTGGCCGCTCTGCTTGCCGAAGATCATCTCAAGTCGCTGGCCACGCCCCAATTGGACTATGCCATCGATCGGAATCGCCTGCTAGACGAGATTAGTTTGGAGGATGCTGCTTACATTGAGCGCATCTGGCACTGCGCTGAGGGCTATCATTATATGCTGCTCGCCCAGAGGCAACTACGTTTTGGCATCATGCACAGTGCTGTGATCACATCCCTGCGACTGCGTGACTACGACGATGTCCTGCCCGTGGAGGATATATACAGCCTGCTAGCTTTGGCCAGTTGTGCAGACAGATCTTTTGACACTTGCTCGCGGGCATTCATGAAGCTGGAGTCCCTGGAATCGCTGCCCGAGAAGATGCAGCAAGAGTACGAGGAGCTGGCCGTAAGCATATTCTCGAAAAATGAGCCCGAGGATCACAAAGTGGACACCGTCGCATGCTATAGCTGTGCGGCCCATGTGCCGGACAAGTGAGTGTTAAGTTGAGTATAAATTTCAGTGTTTACATTACTTTTCATTTTGATTCATAGTTTGCCATCCTGCATGGAGTGTGGTGCTCGTTTTCCGGGCTGTGTTTCGTCTGGCAAGCCCATCACGCAGCCAACGAGCAATATTTGGATATGTTCAACCTGCCATCATTGCGCATCGCCCATGGAGATAACAAGGCATCGAACATGTCCGTTATGTCATAGCCCAATTGCCTTAATAAAGTGAATAATGATAAAATATTATATA